TTATCAAAGGAAAAATCTAATTGTCTCTAATCCCATGGGAAAGAATCTTCCTTCTCTGCTCAGGAAGCACAAAGTAATCTCGAAAGCTTTGTTAATACTTGCAAATTTGTGAACAGCTCCCCTCTTCTAACCAGCCCTGGGGAAGTCTGTTGCCTGGTTCATTTTTGGTCTGTGTCTTGCCCTAAGTGAACAGGTGCTCTCTGAGGTCCTTCGAGAAGACGTGTAATAGATATGATAAAGGCAGAGCATATCCCACTGTCACGGTGTCTCTGCTTCTCCAGGGAGGCGGAGAGGCTTTCCATGACAATTAATTATTCACATTTTCTCTCCTTCCCCTCAAATACTTGCTTTCCTATCTAGCTCCAGGAGGCACGTTTTCTTTGGGGTGTATATAACCCTAGCACCCAGTGACGGTTTGGAGCTGCACGATGGGGCTCTTTGAGCCTGTTTATTTTAGGGCCTCGTGCAGTGGGCACATGCTGGTGATGGCTAGAGTATATTAATGCCACCACTCATTCTCTTTATTCTTCTCGGGGTAGGATTTTAGCCACTTTGATCGCCCTGGTTCATGCAGTGCAAACGGAGCTCAGGGGTCAGGTCTTCATCTCCCTTCCTTCCTTGCTTGTTCTTGGATGCATCCCAAGCTGCCCAGGCGAGCTGGTGCTTGGTCAGACGCCTTTCTCCGTGTCCCCACCCTGCCCCGAGGCTGGGCATCTTGCCTTTCTGCAAAGCTGTCAACATTCACTGATCCGCACAGGCTTCAGCATGGCCTTTGTTACTGCTCTCTGGGAAACCTCTGTGTGGCTGATAGAGGTGTCCTGACACCAAGCACCCCGACAACTCTGTCTTGGAGACTCAGAAGCTACCTTACCCGGGGCCTCTCCACATGCAGGCTTCTCACGCTTGTCTGCGAGCCTGAGAGGGCAGTGCTCATAAAAAGACCTGGGAGTGTGCCACTGGGGAGGGAGTTTCTGGGTTATGCTTCCTCAGACACCCAGGGCCAGACGAAAGAGATGTAAATGGGTGTCCAAGACAGGGAGCTATTGGCTGGTGGCTGAGAAGCCAGCCAGACAGGAGGAGGCAGGAGTGCAGTAGAGAGGGGTGAGGCCGTAGCAATGTGGCCAGAAACGATGGGGAGGGGCGGCTGCTCATTCTGCTATGAAATAAATACAGATGAGAGGGTAAGCACACTTCTCTACAGAACCGTTGTGATTGTGCACGCAGACCTCAGATGCCGTGTGACCTTGGCAGATTACTTCGCCTCTCTGTGCCTCGATTTTCTGCTCTCTAAAATGGGAACAATAATAGCGCCCCCCCCCTTCTAGGGTTGTTCTAAGGATTCAATGAGTTCATATATGTAGAACATGGAGAAAGTGCTGGACCACAGTGAACATCATGCACGTGTTAAGCTAACGTCTCTCCGTGTACGTGGCCACACGCACACCCTGAGAACGGGCGCAAGGTCTTAATGGGGCTGCCTCACTGCTCTGACAATGTCTTTTCCCAAACATTCTTTCGACTCCGTATGTCCTTTTTTCCTCTCACAGAAATCATCTCCAATTTTCTCAAATAAATTTCTTCATCCCCCAAATCCTTCAAAGCCTTTCTACCTCTTTCCATTTGAACTGAGCTTTCATTAATGTTTAGCAAAATCACATGTCCCCACTGTTGGGAGATCAGGCCACCATGAAAAAGCAAAATATGCATTTCATTTGATTGTGGTACTTTTTCTTACCTTTCCTGGAGTTACTGACTGGTGGAAAATCGCATTGGTTTGCCTTGTCACTATTTTTGTTTCAACCGCACCTCCTGCTGATAATGGTGCTAATGTTCAATGAAACAGGAAGTAGTCAGGTGAGCAGAAGAGCAAACAAAGAGAAGGACCACAAGAGTCCAGGAATTCTGATTGTTTTTTAAACCATCACAACGAATTTTCATTGATTCAGATTTATATGGGGGCACACATGTATTAGATAACCACATAAAAGTAAGAATACAGTCTAAAGTAACTGATCCATCCTTAAAATTCAGCCCACGAGCTCAGCAGTGCACAGGTCCCACTGCTAACAGCACATCCCTCCTGGAAGTCGTTCCGGCATCTGATGCCAACATGGCCAAAGTGGAACTCCTTATCTTTACCCACAAATCTGCCCTGCTTCCTCTCTTCCGTATCTCTTACTTACGCGTCAGGATCCAACCAGAAACATCAAGGTACGCTCCTCTCCTGCTTTTCCTGCTCCCCACCCCAGGCCTGTGGGCTCCAAGCCAAGTCACCTGTGCCACCTAATTAGCCTGTGAATCTGTGCCTTTTCTGTACACCCACTGACTCCTCCTGTACCTGTGAGTATTGCTGTATAACAGCCACCCCCAAACAGTGGCTTAAACAACAGTCATTTCTTATTCCTCTCATGTCTTGGGTCAGCTTCTCTAGACCAGGCACAGCTAGGTGGCTCTTACCATGTTTCTGTGGGTGTCTGAGATTGGCTGATCCAGGCTGGGCTCAGCTCGGGCGGCTGTGATCCATGTATATCTCCTCCGGCTTTCTGGCACCAGTGGGCTAGCTCCTCATGGACATGTCAAAAGCACAAGAAGGCAGGCCCAAACACACGTCACCACTGTGTCTTTCTGTTGGCCACAGTTAGGCATATGGTCGACGGTGTCCGAAGTCAAAGGGTGGGGAAATGCACTTCACCCAGTAATGGGAGGGACTATAACGTCCCATGGCAGAGAGCAAGGAGACAGGGCAAGATAAAGAATGAGGGCCAATAATGCAATCTCCTCCACTGCCAAGTCCTGGTGATCTCTTGTCTAGACTGTTTACTCATCTTCTGACTTCTTCCTTTGCTCCCCCGACTAGCGCCCCACGTCCCTTTATTGAAACTTTCCACTGCCCCTTATCACTACCAAATGGAGCTGAAGCCCCGTATAACTTGGTGCTAGTCCATTTTTCCCACTGCATCTGTTGCCATGTTTCAGAATTACTCACCACCCCCTTCCAAATGTGCTTGTTTTTTTGCACAGTTCTGTGCCTTTGTAAACCATCTTCCCTCTTCCTGCAGTGGTCTCCCCCACGTTTGAAGGTTATTATGAGTGAGATGTTGTTTACCCTTCAAGGCCCAGTTCACGTGGTGCCTCCTCCAGAAAAACCTCCCCAGAAGCACTCTGGAGGAAACGTTGCTCCTTCCTTTGTCCCATGGTAGTAAATTGGAATTACATCATGCTCATATTTAACTCGTACAAATTCAAGACTACATGCTCAGCCAGAGGGGGCGGGGGTTGAACAATGCCACCTACCATTCTAGTCCATGATCATGGAAGTACTGAGATTTGACTTTGCTGTTACCTTGGTCATCCTTATGTTTCGGAAGCCTCTTGTAGGGTGAAAGGCACAGCCTGCTGAGTGGGGGTCTAGTGCTTACTGATGCAAGACTGTTCTTTTATAACACAAGCCATGCAGCAAGCCTGCTCTTTCATCTGGTGTTCAGCCAGAGGAACACCTATCTGGCTGCATTGTCTTGCTGCAAGTAGGACCTTCAATACTATATTGGAAATTCAAGGGACTTTCAGGGGTAATATTGTCTCTAGGTAATTTTTACTTCAGGGTGACTTTAGAATCTAACCCCTGCCTAAAATGCTACTCTACTGTATTTCCTATAGGCACATATCAGATTGAATTTTAATTTTTTATGACTGTGTTTATGAAGTTATTTGTGGCTTATGGTTCTTCAGAGGGCTACTGCTGTGGGTGTGCAGGTTGTACACTGCACAACTCTAAGGGAGCAGCACTATTCACACCAGAGTCTATGTAAACAGACTCCCATAAGACTCGATGATACGAGCTGCCTTGTCTCTCCAGTGCCTGATACATATTGATTGCTCAACAAATGTGTAAATAAATGAGTACATAAGAAAGGCAACAACAGACTGAATTAACTATTCCCAAGTGAAATAATTTAACAGAGTTGAGATGAAAATTCAGACAGGTTTTGATCCAACAAAATTGAAACTATGTTATCACAGATGAATATGATGAAATATACCTGCAAGCTCATTTGGCATGTCTTGCAAAGCTAGAAAAAGAAATTATTTATCCTGTAAATTGATTGAGGTTATTGTTCCTAAAAGCACATCACACTTCTCAAACATTATTGACTGCATGAGTGACTTCTACCTAATACCCTAGTGGACATTGTGAGGCATGTGTGTGATGACAGATCTACATTCTAGGTGAATCTAGCCCCCCAAGTCACAGTAGACTTAAAGATTTCTTGATTTCCCTTGGATGAGTCGTAAAGCCTGTAAAGATGCAAATAGAGCCATCTTTTAAAAGAACAAGCCTCTGATCATGTTATCTGAGAAAATATGCTGAATATTTCTGAATTAGAAATACGCCAGTGTGGCCAGCAGACCGTTCACCCTGTGGGATAGTGTTGCCAAGTTAAATGGTCAACTTCACCCTTGGAATTCAGTGCTTCCAGATGTTCTTTCTGCCAGAGACATTGGGAGGGTAAACAACCCACTCAAGATGTGTGGGCTTCTGAGTGGACGTGGCCTGAGGAGAAGCCCAAAGACAGCATTCCACAGGCAGCCGTGGTCCCACCATGCTCCCCCAGCCCTAACCACAGCCCCAGTAAGCGGCCTCAGCAAGAACACTGGGCCTCCCGCCCCGCCTCAGCCCCATGTTCCTCCGTGTCGTTCTTTCCAGCAGCAAGATGGTCACGACCAGATCACCCCAGCATCAGTCCCCCGTTGGCCGTATGCCTCCCCAGCCAGGGCTTTATCTGTCAGCACGGCACCTAGCATGAGGCATGAAGAAAGGATTCCATAAATGTTTGTGAAGTGAATGAACAAGAAAAACCAATGCAATAAGCAAATCCGAGGAGTGCAGTGGTAGAGGGACCATTTCGGGGGGTAAGGCACGGCAGTTGCTTTGGGAAATACTAAATGGTATACCCTGAATGCGACAGCATCTTCTCTATTGGCCGTGTTATCCCTTCCAGATCAGTGGAGATTTGACTTTCTGCTGCATAACAGGAAGTACACTCAACCTGGTGCAGTATGGGGGGTTCTCCTAGCCCTGCCCAGTTTGGGGGCTGTTCCTAGCAATAATACTTCTCTCGTGTTTGGGCTGCCAGCGTTTTTGTGGGCAAACTTGGGATCCGAAAATCCTAATGATCGCGGAGTCAGTTCAGTTAGCCCTTAGCTTCTCTTCCTGTCACCGCCTTGCTTGTCATCACAGGACACTTTTAATGACAGTCACCGTTTGTTTGTTTTTCTTGTTGTGCCCCAGGTGAGCTTTCGGTGGAGGAGGCGCAGGACCCTTTCCTGGTTAGCATCCACATCATTGCAGACCCGGGGGAATCCCAACCCCTGCAGGAGGCCATCGACAAGGTCTTGGCTTGGATCCACCCAGACCTGCAGCTGTTCCGGGTCTCGGAAAGGCGGGCATCCCGGCGGCGGCGGAAGCCCTGGAAGGTGGCGCAGCCGGCGCTGGCCGTGGTTCTTTTCCTTCAGGAGGAGTACGGTGAGGAGCAGATCCTGCAGCTGCACCGCACGCTGCAGCGGGCGCCCTGGCGCCACCACCACACGGAGCGCGTGCCTGGCAGGTTCCTGCCCTACCTGCCCTGCAGCCAGGACTTCTTCACGCTGGCCCCCGGGACCCCGCTGTGGGCCATCCGGCCCGTGCACTACGGCAAGGAAATCGTGCGCTTCACCATCTACTGTCGCCACGACAACTACGCCGACATCCTCAAGTTCTACGAGCTGATCCTCCGGCGCAGCCCCAGCCAGAGGAAGACGGACTTCTGCATCTTCCCCATCTTCTCCAATCTGGATGTGGACATCCAGTTCTCCCTGAAAAGGCTGCCCTGTGACCAGACCCCCGTCCCCACCGATTCCTCGGTGCTGGAGTTCCGGGTCAAGGACATCGGTGAGCTCGTGCCTCTCTTGCCCAACCCCTGCAGCCCCATCAGTGAGGGCCGATGGCAGACGGAGGACCTCGACGGGAACAAGATCCTCCTGCAGGTACCTGGGGGAAGTCTGTCTGTCTGTCTGTGTCTACCTCCCCGTCTCTTGGGGGTTGGGGAACAGAGAAACAAGCGGGTTGGCTGTGCCAGAAACCCCAGTTACCCCAGTACCTGGTAAAGAGCAATGAGTTAAGAAAAAGGAGGGATCTGTGGCCCCCTGTCTGGCTCTTAGACAAAGTCAAGGTGTCCCGACGCTGCCTAAACAGAAGAGGCATCAAGGGCTCTTTGCGTTGGTTGTTTTCACTTGGCTGCCTTGGCTGTATGCCTCAGCAAGCAACTGCCAGGTCCCTTAAATATCTTAATTTTGCTAAAGACTGAGACATAAATTTTTATACTTAAAAGTAAGTTAAAGAGCCAGGCAGGTGCATATTTCATGCTAGAGCAGAAGGTTGCTCTCTGTAGTGATTCAGTCCCAGTAACCTGTATAAATGGCCATCATCAAGAATTATGGGGGGGCTATTAGTCATTTCTGTCTACATTAATTTACCTCCTCGACATATTACTATATTGAACAAAGGCCTGCATTCTTGAGACCCAAGATACAAATCTTTTTTCTTACTCTTTTCACACTTTAATGCTCGAACTTCAAAAGCCTCCACCTGTACAGATTTTATAACCATTTAAATGTGTGAATCTTCTTTGAAATATTCTTTCACTGGTTCCTTTGAGCACAGCCCAGGCCAAGCTTTTATACTTTGTTCTTTCACTTACGTTATTACAGGCATCGAGCGAAAAAGTATTCTAATTACTGCCAAAAAAGAAGAAGTGCCTTCAAAACAATCACATTCATTTTGGTCTTTTAGTATAAACAAAATCCTTCCATTTACTTTTACTTATTCAACTGCATTATATTTTGCGTACGGCATTGGGAGTCTTCAAACACAGAAGAATTTTGTTCTCACATTTCAAAACAGACTATAGAGCAAGTGCAAGCTAGCATTCAGTTCACTGAATAAACTGATATTTAGTTTCTTATCCTTATAGCTCAAAGGAAAATCAGAAAATTATCTGTGTCCTATAAACAGTAAATGTCTCAGAGGAGATCTTTCTGACTTGAGCAAAGTGGCCCGGCTGTAGTTTTAACCAGTTTTTTGACATGTGCCAAGTTCTCACTTCATTTTGTGATATGTGGATTACAGTTCTGATGTTTGATGTCAAAATCAAGAAAAATTACGAAGCTGTGGTTTGAGTGATTTGAGTAACTACCTGTGATTTCAGTAACTACGATCAGCACCTTTCAAGATAATGGCCCTTAATGCACTATCAACCTTCTCCTTCCAGGTAGCCAAATGGGAAAACGGAGATGCCTGAGCCAGATGTTTAAAAAAAACTGAAGTCCTATATGCTTGGAACTGTTTTACATGCTAATTCCAGAAAGCCTGGGTTTAGAAAGCATTTATTAGGTCGGGCCAGGTGTGGGACATTCTTAAGTCTATGTGCTGAATTTTGAATTCTCGAATATGGTAATTAATGATCCTGAAAGAGTGTGAGGCAACCACTGGAAGGATGGGAGGAGAAAGGGGTCCAGGAACTGAGTGAAGGATTAACCACAGAGTAACAGGGCAGTCTACTACATCCATTCCCTTAAAATGTACTCATTCACCTCTTCCCAAGCTTACTGAAACCAAAAACTCCAAAGGCATCGCTTACTTCTTAGAATATTTATGAGAAAGTAATTTTTTAAGTGATCACTGGATTTTAACAACCTACTTACTGCCTAGCAGTAGAAGGGTGGACGGGTGGATGGTGGGGAGGCACGAGAGGGAAGAAGGAGACATCTATCTTCTCTCAATATATTCTACAGTTTTCTAAGAGCTGGGTTTTCCTGAAGGTCCTTTGTGGAAGTGAAGAATACACTGGTAAAAACTCCCTAAGTGTGAGGGAGTAGATTCAGGAATCTTAAATAACAAGGTCCCTGCGTTACAAGCTCATCTGCAGTCCCCGGGAGCCACAAGCATTCATGGCAGCTCAAACAGCAGGTGAAGAGGCACGCAGAGGACCTGGCAGTTGCTTGCTGAGGCATACAGCCAAGGCAGCCAAGTGAAAACAACCATGGCCATTATTAAAAAGTAAAGGGAAACATATAAAGAGAACCTGTTGGGTCCAAGGCACAATGTTAGTTTAGCTCTACGGGATATGGAAAGATTCACAGAACATGGACCATGGCTCCAAAAAGCTGCACTTTAGCATCATCGAGCATTAATGCAAATTTCTGGGATGCATTTTTCCAGAGGGAACTTGGGCAACTTCTGATGCTAGCAACTCCCCACCCTCCTCTTCCTTGCTTTCCTCCCCGGATCAGACAGTGCCAAGAAAGAGTTTTAGGAGGAGGAAGTCTTTCTTTCCATCTTAACAGATCTTAGTCAAAAACATTCCAAATTCTTATAAAAGGCTGAGTAGCCCCCAGAAAAAACCTTTAATCTTTATTGTCTTCCAGAGGAATTAAATCAGAGGAGGAGGTGGCTGGAATATGGAATGTTCATGGGGCAGGATGAGGAAATAAAATTCAATCTATATTTTAAGCAAGCAACTAAAAACTACCAACCAAGATGTGTTCCAGCGTATAACTCTGCTCAACTGAACAAAAACATTTATATTAAAAATTATAATTGAAAATATAACTCGGGAAACATACACTGCTAAGGACGATGTGGTTAAAAGGCATTCTCTCAATGGGGTCCCTCTCCATGACTTAAATATCTTAATTTTTTTTTTTAAAGATTTTATTTATTTATTCATGAGAGACAGAGAGAGAGACAGAGGCAGAGCGAGAAGCAGGCTTCCCGCGGAGCAGGGAGCCCGATGCGGGACTCGATCCCAGGACCCTGAGATCATGACCTGAGCCGAAGGCAGATGCTTAACAACTGAGCCACCCAGGCGTCCCTCAAGAGCACATTCTTTGGACGTCTCTTTCCATAGAGGATGGTCACCAGCTGTTCTTTGTGTCTGCATAAGGCAAAAGAGGAAATTAGTTTAAAACAAACGGATTTAAGTAAGATTTAAAAGGCAAGAAATCTGACACAGAGAATTGTTAAGGGTTGCCAGGCTCAACATCTGGGACTTTCTTCGCTGGAGAGATTTTAAGGTCTCATCCACGCCAACTAGTTTGTCTTCTTCACATAGTGTGAGGGGCTTGACTAGACAGTCCATCTCGGGATACCCGGAACACCAGCGCTGTTGAGGGCAGGGAGACAGATGCTGATGGGGATGCAATTGAGGGACTGAGTGGGCTCCAGAGACTTCGTAAAAATGTTCCACTGGAGTAAAATACACATAACAATAAAACTTAACCATCCTAACCATCTTTAAGTGTGCAGTTCAGTTAAGTACATTCACACTCTTGTGCAAACATCACCACCACCATCTCCAAGCTCCAGCACTCTTTCCATCTTGCAAAACTGAAACTCTACCCGTTAAACAACCCCCACTTCCCCCACCCCCAGCCCCTGGCAACCAGCACTCCGCTTTTTGTCTCAAATGAATTTGACTGCTCTAGGTAGCACACATAAGTGGAATCATACAGTATTTGTCTTTCCATAACTGTCTTATTTCACTCAGCATAATGTCCTCAAGGTTCATCCATGTGTTAGCACAGGTCAGGATTTCCTTCCTTCCTAAGTCTAATATTCCATTTAAGAATATACCGCATTTTGTTTATCCACTCATCTGTTGATGGACACTGGAGTTGCATCCCCCTTTGGGCTATTGTGAATAATGCTGCTATGAATATGGGTGTACAAATATCTGTTGGAGTTCCTACTTTTATTTCTTTCAGGCATGTACCCAGAAGTGCAATTGCCAGGTCCGATGGTAATTTTGTGTTTGATTTTTTGTGGGGAGGAACTACCATACTGTTTTCCGTAGTGACTGTACTGTTTTCTACTTCCGCCAACAATGCACAGGGTGAGACTTATTTTTTAAGAAAGCAGAGAAAGGCTTGCTCTTTGTGAGGCTACGGCACATCATTCTTCTACTCTATGAGGTTGGAAAGAACAGAGCAAACATTGAAGTGAGGCTTGTTTTATTATGATTCACCCCATGCACTCCAGAACTAGACTCTACAGCAGAAATTTTGAACCTGCCATCCTTGGACCCCAAGCACAGTTTGTGTGCATGTGTTTATGTGCATCAGATCTCTTTCAAGATTAAGACTCTCCAGAGGCTTCTCGTGGCTCTTGCAGTTCCTTCCAGATCTTCACCAAGGCCTAAGGCTTTATATTAGCTGGCCACTACTTAACCTCTCAACCTTTATCTCCCACTTCCCTCCCGTCTTGCTCCTTATGCCTTCCACATTGGCCTACTTTCTGTTCCTCAGATGTAGCAAGCTCACTCCTGCCTCGGGACCTTTGCACCTACTGTTCTGTCCACCTGGAATGATCTCCTCCAAGATCGTCACATGGCAAGTTCCTTCTCATCATTCAGGTTTCAGAGACGCCTTCTCTGTCTGCCCCACTTAAAGTAGCTCCCTTTCTCTGACCTGGCACTCCCTATTATATTATTTTTTTTTTTTTTCTCACTTACTACTATCCAAAATTATTTTGTACATGTATCTGTTTTCTTGTATATTATCTGTCTCTACTACTAGATTGTCAAATGAATGAATGAATGAATTTGAGGTTAGGGAAGAGGGCCTAGAGCCATGAATCTCAAATGGGTGCATAACCACCCTATAACCTCTTATGTCTGGGTTGTGATCCCATGTTGAAGGAAGAAACTTTGGCCAACATTTACTGGACAACCCCTCTGTACCAACACTGTCCCTCCCTACTCCCTTCAGCAGCTCACCATCCAGTGGAGGCAGCAGTTATGCAAACCAGAAAATCCAGCAGAATGTTCCAGGTGCTGTGATTTAAAGTACTCCTACAGGGCAGTGTGTGGCACAGGCTTTGCAGTCAGATGTATTGGGGTTGGACCCTAACTCTCTTACTTACTAGCTGAGTGTCACCAGGCATGTGACATTACATTGCTGAGACTGTTTTCTAATCTGAACAGTTAGGATGCTAATTCTTGCCTTGCAGAGTTACTCAGACACATAGAAAGAATGCCTTTGAGGTGCCACCCAGCACCCATGAACCAGGGAACGGTAGCTGTCATTACACAAAGGGTGGGTTGGTTGATGCTGGCCAGGGGCCACAGGGTCACGAGAGGCTTCTTAGCAGAACAGATGCCTGAGCTGAGCTGAGGGTGGCCATGGGTCTGGGATATCCAGGGGAGCCCCAGGACAGCAACAGGCACAAAGGCCCAGGCAGAGCTGCTGGACCCCGGGGCAGCGGTCAGGGTTCTGCGCTGCCATCAGAGGGCAGGGGGGCATCTGGGGAGAAACCAACACAAGAAAAGGCAAACTAGGGGCGCCTGGGTAGCTCAGTTGGTTAAGCGTCTGCCTTCGGCTCAGGTCATGATCCCAGGGTCCCGGGATCGAGCCCCTCATTGGGCTCCCTGTTCAGCGGGAAGCCTGCTTCTCCCTCTCCCCTTCACCACACTTGTGCTGTCTCTCTCTCTCACTCTTGCTCTCTCTCAAATAAATAGATAAAATCATAAAAAAAAAAAAAAGACAAACCATTCTTCGGATGCTTAGGACAAAAATGCCAGAGTCATTTTGAGGTTTTCCCATGTTTATTCCACTTGCAGAATGCACACAGAATCTGCACGCTTCTCGCCACCGCCGCCTCCGCCACTGGCCACTGGCGTTGCCCCAGAAGCCCCTGAGCGGCTCTTTATTTCTGCAGCCCATTCTCCACTGCACAGCTGGAGGGCCCTTCAAAGCATAAGTGAGACCTGCACCTCCTCGGCCCAGAGCCCGGGGGGCTGCCCGTCCCGTCCCACGTGCAATATGAGCTGCTTCCCCGGGTGGCCGGCAGGCCCGGTGTTGCACTGTTCTCGCCTCTCCCGCCTCACTCTGCCCAGCCCCCTGCCTCGCTGTCCACCCTTCAGAATGCCCTGGGCCTCTCTGTCCCCTCTGCCTGGGCCACCACCGCCCTCCCCCACCCCAACCCCAGTGGCCACGTGGCTGCTCCCGCAGGCCCCTCGGGTCTCCACTCCGTGTGCCCTCACGAGCAAGCCTGCCCGGCCACCCTGTCCCCTGTGCTCTCACGCGCAGACGCACCAGCAGCCCTGCTTCCGGCCCTGCTTGCTCTTCCTCCTTTTAGAATGCTCTGTGTTGACTCAACGGAAGCACCTTGAGGGCAGAAACTATCTGATTTGCCCACTGGTGTATCCCTCGTGCCCCGAATAGTGTCTGGCACAGATCCAACACTTGGTGTTCGAATGCATAAAAGAAGGAAAGACAGAAGGGGGGAGAAGGGGGAGACTTGGGATGGTTTCGGGCCTGCCCAGTGG